GTTAGTAGTAGACCTTATTGATTGAATTATTATTTATGATTTCTCAAACTAATATTTCTTTTTTTGTCTTTTAGGGTGGGGCATTCTTTGTCTTCCTCTTAGATGTTTTTAGTAGATTTTCTGTCAAGCATAGGCTAGCCGGGCCCTTGTAATTGAAATAACATCGCCTTAATACAAAAGTAGAAATACTGTATGTAGTAATATTTTAAGTACTGGATCTACTGTGCTCTGAACATAATAAAGATAGGCTAATCAAGGTACAAGCTCTGGTGATTTTACAAAAAAAATAATTATTTAAACAGATTGATATTATTAATTTCTTTTTTTAGTTTTGTATATCATATGGGCATATCTTCCTGAAAGTTGGCTCCATTATGTTGGCCTGACCTATTGGCCACAAAAGTAAGAAATTCAAAAATTATTTTTTAGCTCATTAAAAATAGTTTCATTAATAAGTGTTGATAAAAGGATGCAATTGCAAGAACTACAGTACTTTGACATTGTCTTTCGTTGTAGGTATTGGGCGTTGGCTGTGCCTGTGTACTGCTCTGTGTGTGTTCCATTCCTCTACTTCTTCTACACAGCTTACAACTTCAGCATTACACTGCCACTTGATTCTATTAACACTATGCAAGGTAAGTTATGCCGGGCATGTGCTGTGTCAGGCAACAACGACCCACCAATTCAATTCAAACTATCTTTATTGCAGTCAAAGTAAGCAGCGATTAAATTATACAGACCATCGACCGGATCAATATATACAGTCTGTATGAGCGCTTGACTATGCTATGCTTGATTGTAAGTGGCAGTCAAAATAACTTTGGCTTCATTTGCCAGTTATCATCTCTTGAATTTAAACAGATTACAATATATGTATACAGTAGTCCATATATAATTGGAATTACTTATGTCGATTATCATAATTAAACAATGATTATTTAAAGACAATATGCATTCTGTTTTGCAGATGACTATTCCAGATCGCCATCTCAAGTTGCCGATCCAACAGTCGCAATTCCCCCCATATCAGATATTCCAATAAGTGAAGTTAATAGGCATTTGTACAGAAGTTTGCCAACTGATGTAAACTGAATTGCATAATCGTAATGCAGGTTGTTAGACCTCTGTAGAGAAGGCCAGCATACAGAAACCGAATAGGACCTGGGACTTACAAGATGTTCTCCATACTGTAGATTCCATGTAGCTTATCTTGACATTGTAGAGGCAGTGGTTGCAGTCTGTCCAGGCTTAAGCATTGTGGTTGTTGAGACTTTGAATCCCACCCAGTCTATTAAATACTACTGTAAATGTCATTTGTAAAAAAGTATTATATTGAAATACAGTGCTCCCACCTATTTCAATTTATTCCCTTTAATAAGTGCATGGGTGCTATTTAAATACATGCCACTA